TTCCGCAATGGGCTTCCCCACAGTGAGCCTTACATTGTGTAGCCACCAGGTTTTAATCCAAATTCATCTGTGCACAATCCCATGTAAATTGCAGGGTAAATGGCCATTGTAGTGACTCCTTTAGTCCATCTTTTAAGTGTCACCACATATTGCTTTCTCCGCCTCTTCCCCCCCTTTCCCCCTTTGATTTTGCCCACATTGTTTAAGCCATGCACATGTATCAAAGAAAAAAAAGAGAAGGAAAAAGATTGGAGGGTGGCCATTACATAAGAAAATAGTCCAAAAATATATTTTGGACCACAGAGATTTTAGTCTCCTTAAATTGCCTTGAGGAAAGGTGGGGAAAGGGTGATGGGAAGCTTTGAGGAGGGTCAGGAATGGGTGGATGGAGAACTGCCGGGAACTCAGCAGTTTAGGCATCTGATTGGGAGTTCGATTCCCCACTGGGCCTCCTTGACAGGGGGTGGAATCAATGATCCATAGGGTCCCTTCCAGCTCTGCAGTTCTATGATGATGATGATGATATTTCACAAAAGGATAGTTATGATCCAAATAGCTGTACTTAAAATAAAAATGTGACCTGCATTTCAAGCACAACACTCAAGCACTGAATGTTCGCAATGTTTGATCTGCAATTCCAGCAGTATGCTTTAGACAAACTTTCGCACACTTCTACATAGCAGAGAAAAGAGGTGAGGCTGGCACATACTGGATTCCAGCAGAAAACAAACAGTTGGGGGGAAAATATGTATGTGTAGCTCAAAGAAATGCTGGCATCACTCAAGAGAACTATTTAGCAAAATTATGATATGAATTTCACTGAAATCATGGCTTGAACTCAAATATATTGTGTTGTAATAAAATCAGTGAAACGCCACTATTTTGTAGGCAAAGTCATTGAAATTGGAAGCAATCTATTGTTTAATGCAGAGGGGAAACCACATTCCAGTTCCTTTCTGCTTCTTGAGATGTATTAAAGCAAGAGGGAGCTGATTCTGTTCTGACTTCTCAAAGGCGTGCGTGGTGTGTGTGTTTTGGTTTTCTGAGAGCTCACTTCCGGCTGGTTTGCATCTATAAAAATAAAAGTATTCAAAATAGCTGAACACGGATTGGACAAAGTTGCAAATGAAGTCTTAAAAACTACTTAGAGAAGTGGGGGGGGGGAGTCAGCTAGAATAGTTTCATTTTTAGAGCTTCCTTAATAAATGATTGCCATTTTAGAAATTCAACAGCTTCCAACATAGTAATTATTTTTTTTTACAAAGAAAGGCATAAAGGGGAAATTGACTGAGAAACACAGGGCAGAAATTTAGGCAGGTTTTAAACGACTGTCAAATTAGATCCAAAGGGCTTTGCTCTGTATTTCTATAATCAGTTGCCTGAGTAGATATTAAAACAACTTTACTTCTAAACTTGCTATTTTACCTAACTTGCTTTTTGAAACAGACAAATTGCAAAGCAATGTGTGTAATGATGTAGGGTAAGAGCTCTTCAAAGGAAAATCTCAGAAATTTTACAGAGCCTCTTGGATGAGCCCACAAAGCATTTTCACTTCTAGCTCATGTTTCTGTATCCAACATTTTTGCTTATCATATACATATAGATTTTTTTTAAATGGCATTTTTGCATATAATTTTGTCACAAACAGCAAAAGTAGACTTGCTTATCCACGGGGGTGAGAAAAATCTACAGCTAGGTAATTCTTATATTGGGACCAAACCAAAATGTCATAAACTAATGCACAATCTTTCCCTGTTTAATTCCAAATGTTGTATGCTGTTAAGCCAGTGAAGAGTTTTATAGGACTCAGAAGGCTGCACACTCTTTGGCTGGTTCTGCTAAAGTTATGCCTAACTGTATAATCTTCAGGGGATATATAAAGCATGAGGACAGAATTGGGTACAAAGACGGCTCCTTTGCCATACTTGTCATTTAGTTGTTAAGTCGTGCCCAACTCTTCATGACCCCATGGACCAGAGCATGCCAGGCCCTCCTATCTTCCACTGCCTCCCGGAGTTGTGTCAAATTCATGTTGGTTGCTTCGATGACACTGTCCAACCAAATCAGCCTCTGTCGTCCCCTTCTCCTCTTGCCTTCACACTTTCCTAACATCATGGTCTTTTCCAAAGAGTCTTCTCTTCTCATGAGATGGCCAAAGTATTGGAGCCTCAGCTTCAGGATCTGTCCTTCCAGTGAACACTCAGGCTTGATTAGAATTGATAGATTTGTTCTCCTTGCAGTCCAGGGGACTCTCAAGAGCCTCCTCCAGCACCACAATTCAAAAGCATCAATTCTTTGTCCATACTAGCTGCATTTAAAAACAAAGTTACCTAGACTCGTCTGTAAACCAGTTTAGAAAGTTGCTTATGAAACTAAATATATATGTGCAGCATCCCTAACAATGATGTTGGCTTCCTTGCCTGTTGTGCCATTTCAAAAATCTGGATTTGTTTCTTGAATGTTGTCCTAAGTACTTTGCTTAGATCAGTGACCTCTTGACAGTCCTTGACAGTTTTGTTTAGTCTACCAGCTCTCTGCTTCTGGCTGCTTCCTCTTGGCAAAGAACTAGCCTCGAAGTGCCTATTTTCTATTAATCATTATATAATCTAAATGGATGGTTAGATATTACCTACTGTTAGGACTCCCATAAACCTTGGGAACAACCTTTGAGATGCCTTGTACATAAACTTTCATGACTGTATCAATAAATTAATATTTCCAGATTATATATTATTCTTAAATCAAACTTTCAGGCACTGGGGGGGAAGCTATTGTAGAATTACTAAACCATGGCTAAATCAAAATGTAACAATAAACTATGATTTACCTTCACATGAAAGTTTTGGGCTTTTCTGCTGTTTCTTTTGCCCCACCTACTCTGATGTGACAGTGAGAAAAAGATTAGATGCTTTTGCTTCCAGCTTTAAGCTGCAACTTGGTGTTATATCCAAATCCAAAATAATATATAATCTTAAATATAATTTACTAAGGAGTCTAGTCAGAAAAAGGAGATTTAGTTAATTGTTAATAAGATAAAAAATCTAATTTGATAATGTTTAAATTTAAAGGATGACTTTTTGACAATGATATATTAAATTGGTATTTAAATTCATAACAAAAGGTTTTTAAAAAATCAAAGGTGAAAAATTCCATCTTTGATTTTGCTAAAATTCATTTTCATAGTTTAACTTCCAGATTGGGAAAAAAAAGATTTTAAATGTGTATCTCTATATATGAAACGTAATTGGAATTTGGATGGTTGGTTTTTTACTATTATTTATTAATGTTTTCATACATATAATGTTTTTATAAAAGTGTACACATACATACATAAGTGCATATATATGTCTCTGTGTGTGTGTATACATCCATCCATCTGTAAGTACATATATACATATACATGTACGCACACACACACACACACACACACACACACACACAAATGATATTTCACCAAACCAACAGAGGCTGTGTGCAGAGTCTGCTCCTTTGAACGTATCCTAAAAACAACCTTGCAAGGAAAGTTAGGTGGAAAGAGAAAAATCATTCAGTGCATTTTATGGCTCTGAGGGGGACTTCAACCTGGATCTCTTGGACCAAATATGCTTTGCCACTCCTAGGCAATATGTGAAGAATATTTCATGGAGTTTGTGCACCTTGCAGCTTCCCTAACTTAAGAAAGAGCACCGCCATTACACTAATATTACTTCTGGATACATGTTTATGCAAAAATATAAAACTGAACATCAGCCACTTTTGTTAAAATACAAACTGAACTTAGTTGCTCTTCTCCATGAGCACATGTCCAACTTGATTAATTTTAATATAGCAATTCCTAAAACTGGTTTACTGAAATGGCTAACATCAAACCTTAGTTTACAATACTGGCTTGTTTCACTAAATCACAATTAGGTTTAACCACACTTTATGATTCAGATTAGATCCTAGTCCATCTGAAAATAGAAGTAAGAGCTTCATGGCAGCCAAACCAGAGAGGGTAGCAATGATTCCACAAACCTTAGGTTCATGCACACTGAACTGAACCACAGTTTATAACTACATGCTGCTCTCCTGTAGTGATAAACAGCTGCTCTCATTTTCTCCTTCCTCTGCAATAGCAGACATTTTAAGTTATATTTTCTTTTCTGCTTGTGTCTATATTTGACACCCCTTGTCCTCAAATATCTGGGAGGGAGGCCTGGAGCATCCAATGTCCACTTAGCATCCCTCCCAGTCGGCCCAATAGATAATGTCAATGGGAAATTTTAGATCCAAGATTCCATGAACACCAAGTAAGATTTCTATAAAGATACGGATCACATTGGAAGCATAACAGTTAATGTTTCAGACAGATAATCAAGTGATCTTTTTTTTCTGGACTACAACTACCAGTATAACCCAGCCAGTATGGCAAATTTGGGTGAGAGCACCTAAAATCCTCCAACCAATAGGGCCAGCACCCATGCTGACAAGGAGCGTCTAAGAGTATACTCCGATAAAGTAACTTTACCAGTATCTGATCTCACATCCCCTGCAGTCTCACTGAGGAGGACTTTAATGAGATGATAATCAAATAATTAAATCCAAGGAAAATTATGTATGTGGGTTAAATTTGACTATCACATGGTCACGAGATTCTTTGAAACATGGAAGTCAGTTCTGTGTAAGAAAAAGTGGGATGGGGTAGAGGTGGAGAAAGCATGCAGAATCTCACATGCATATAAAACATGCACACTTAAGTGACTCTCATAGTACTAACACCATTTAACTTCTCAGTACCTTGCTCAAATCTCATAATTTTCTACATACATTATTCTGCACTGCAAGTGCATTCCATGTATTTTATTTATTTATTTATTTATTTATTTGATTTATACCCCGCCTATCTGGTCCGAAAGGACCACTGTAGAACATGTGTATTGTCTGCAGCAGCACTAAATCTGGATAGGAAATAATGCTGGGGTTAAATAAAGTTTTCTGCTCCATTGTTATGTTTTCAGCTTACCCAAGATATGTGCCTTCCTGGAAAGGGAAATTGGACAGAGATACATAGCTATTTTTCAGTCACTCCGCTTACATGGCATCACTTCAAGTAAGCTGACTTTCCCTTTGATATATAGAATGGTTGATTAAGATGAATGTTGTAATGAAAGGACAGATCCAACTTTTGCAAAACTGTGTTGATATGTAAACATGCATTAATGAAATAAGATAGAACTGAAGTTATGAACTGCATATGAGGATAGTCAACTCTTTCTCCAAATAAGTTATGTTACATTACATTGGCTGAAATCCTGCTGCTTAGCATAGTAACCCACTGAATGTGGTGAGTCAATGCCTCCCTAAGTTCCATTAGTTCAGTGGGCCTACTCTAGTTGTGACCTATTATGCTAAGCAATTCCCAGTGTGTGGAATTATCTGTCCTCCTTCCCAAGAGTGGCTCAGCACTCTCACAGTTGACAATTTAAACTACCCCTTTAGTAAAAGGAGCCTAAAGCTGCCCTCCCCAACATGGCATGGTTCTGCATCTCCAGCCAGTGTGGCCAGTGGTGCAGGGTTCCATATGGGGGAAGATTTTCTCAATGGGTGGCTGCATGTGCACTGCCACTGTTCTGTGCAAGGATTTCTGGGGGAAGGCAATACAGAAACATTGCCCTTCACCTTATTCTCAAATTCCATTCTGGTCTGTGATTATTGAAACTACTCTGACTATTAAAAATTTATATAACTCCAAATCTCTGAAAGGACCTACTGTGCACTTTTTGTGATGTCAGGGAGAAAAGAGAAAGGAAGTGTATTGTTGCAAGCTCTTTAAAAGCAACCACACTCTTAAAAAAATCTTTTTATTCAGCCACTTTCTCACTACAATTGTACTGAAATAATAGCTGCTTTCAATAGCAGGACCATGTCACGTCTCCTCCATTCAGCCCAAACCAACTGGAGTGACATCACACAAAAGTATATCCGGCCATTAAACAGAGACTCACCCTTTCATATAAGCAAATATGTATTCTTTTACAGTGGTAGCACAGACAAGAGCCAAATTAATTTCTCCCTCATTATGGTGTGGACATCTCAGAGGTGGGTTAATATAAAACCTGGCCACATGTCATTAAAGCTGATCCCTGGCATGGTGTACAGCCTGCAGGAACACATCACAGGAAAAGCTGCACAAATGTGAACTGTGGAAACCCCAAATTCTAACAAGTCAAGATCTGTGCAGCGTTGACAAAGAAAACCTTTGTCTGACGATGTTCAGCCCTGGTAGAATTATGAGTGGGAGCACGAATGGGTGCTAAGTCAAAAGGAGAGTCAGCTGCTGGAGTAGTGAATTGATTCAGTCTTTGATGATGTGGCTAGACAAGGGTAGAGTTGAGAATAAATCAATGTAGTGTACAGTGGAATGAATCAGAAATAAGAAGTTCCAGTGGCCAATTAAATTTTATTTATTTAAAAATAATATAAGTACAACTTACTAAAATTTCCAAGGTGGCTTTCAAAGCATATAAAGTAAATACAACACTACAAAATTTATACTCTGATGTCCTATTATGGTTGAGCATAGTGTGTCCCTCCAGATATGGTTGATGTACTGAGAGGGAGAATCAACTATGTATGGACAGAAGCATTTAGCTCAATCCTGATCTATAATAACCACACACTTAAGGAGCCTTGAGTGCAGTGGTTAAACTGCAGTACTGCTGTGAAGACTCACAATCTGAGTTCAATCCCGGGTTCAGGTAGCTGGCTCAAGGTTGACTCAACCTTCCATCCTTCTGAGGTTGGATGGCAAGGGGAGCAATGTATAGCCTGCATAATTAAACTGCAAACTACCCACAGAGTGCTTTACATGCTATGGGGCAGTATATAAGCAGCACATTTTGCTTTGATTTAATATTCCAGTCAAAGCCAATTGGTTTTAATAAAAGCCTATCAGAGCACTTATGAGCTCTGTGGAATGGCAGGGGGAGCAATGTATAGCCTGCATAATTAAACTGCAAACTACCCAGAGAGTGCTTTACATGCTATGGGGCAGTATATAAGCAGCACATTTTGCTTTGATTTAATATTCCAGTCAAAGCCAATTGGTTTTAATAAAAGCCTATCAGAGCACTTATGAGCTCTGTGGAGCCAGTGAAAGCCAATTGGTTTAATAAAAACCTATCAGAGCACTTATGAGCTCTGTGGAGTTGGATTTCCAAATTCCCTCTGGAGTGGTTGCTAGTACATAGTGATAGTCAAGGGAGGAACCTTCGAGCTAATGGTAGGTCAACAAATTTGGTGGAATAGCTCTGCTTCGAACCTTATCGCCTTCTGAGGCAGTCAGATGTGACATGCAGTCTGTTAGCATGGGCCAATTTACCTCCTGAGATTCTGCCAGTTTGCTCTTTTATATATATATTTATACTGTATGTGATTTGGCAAACTGAGAGACAGAAATAGAGAGGGAGAGAGAGAAAGAGAATTATGTCTAAGTGTATCTCAACCCACAATCTGGAGTTGTCACAGACAGGGCCAACCTTTGGAAAAAAGGATGTTTCAATTAAAACATATTTCAAATCATAATCAAATAGCAGCACATCTGCCTGGTGCATTCCAGTCCCAAGGGTGTTCCCTCTGGTTATCTAGATCACTTATCCACCACGTCTGACCTTTTAGATCTGACTCAACTGTTTGTGAGCTGTTCCTGTTGATGAGAGCAGATCTAGCAATGCATTGGTATGCTCTTCCAACAGTGGATTGGTATGCTTTTCTGTCTTTGGTGACAGTCTGTGAGGAGAGAGATTCGTGGTGGTACATACAGAAGAGGGAAGAAGTATCTCATTTTTTCCTTCCACGTTTCTGCAATTTGCATAAAATATCTGTGTGCAAATGACTGTTACACATAAAACAAACACATGAGGATTGGCTGCTTGATCAAAATGACACAAAGAACCCATATGATGCTTCTAATTTTAAAAAGTCTATGAAAAATGACAGCAGCTATTGTAGTTTTGCATAATTTGCATTATTAGAAAAATCATTGTTGTAAATATGAAAACTCCAGTTGAGACTAACAAAAAATACCTCCTGTACTCATAAGTGGTGAAAAAATGTTGTTTCTTCTCACACACAGGAACAAGCCACGTGAAGGCTGGCATTCGTAGTACAGTGTCATATCATATCATGTGTCATCAAGTCAATACTGACTAAATGGTGACAATTTTTAGGGTTTTCAGTTAGAAAATATTCAGAAGTGGTTTACCATTTTCTTCTTCTGGGGATACGCTGGGACCTGTGCCGCTTGCCCAAGGCTACACAGGCTGGCTCTACTCACAGGAGGCACAATGGGGAATTGAACTTGCTACCATACCTAAACTATTCAGCTATGCAATACAGTGATTGAATAGGCTGATATAATACCTTCAACTGCTAATTTGTCTGAATCCTGCTCTCGGAACTGAGTTAGGTTCGTCTTCTCTCTGCATAGGCGTTGTGGTTTTCTCGGTTGTTGCCCATGTCCCTCAACCAGATAGGAGGTTTTAAAGCTCAGCTCATACATTTGTCTATTCAGTTTTTGTGTTTGTAATTGTTGTGCGCCACCAAGTCAATTTTGATTTGTGGTGACTCTCCCTGCTTTCCTAGGCATAAGATACTCACCTGTGTTTTACTCGTCTCTTCTTCTAGGCGCACTCTAAGACCCCATAACCTCCCCAAGCTATACCTGTGGCAGGGCACATGAACACTATCAGCCACATACAGTATGCTCAGCTGTGATCTTGCTGACCTCTCTCCCATGAGGCGCAGTGGCAATTTGAACTCCATGGTTCTGCAGCCAGGCACCACAACCCTTTATGAGCTATACCTGCTGCTACACTATCAGTATCCACAATATAATTGCTTTGATTTTTTTCCCCTCATTAACACCAACCAAACTTAAGTTCTTCTCTTCCCAAAGGCAAGCATCTGGAGGAACTATGGGAGATTAACTTCCTTCCTTTGCCATGGCTAACCAGGATCTTGTCCGATCATTACCATGCAGTGAGTTGGTATGCTTACTATAGCAAGAAAATAGGAAATTGTACTCCAGTTTAGCTTCACAGCTTTCTTATTTCCTGGTATATCTACATCAGTTCCTACAATGAGCCAGCTCTCTCTCAAAGGGATACCTTCTAACTAGGAAGCCATCTCCTGTACCAGATGTATGGAAGTTTTTTGGTAACTAGATGGTGACAGCCCTATTTTTAAAAAAAAACCTGTTGCAGATGGCTAGAAATTCTATTTGCTATTTATATCCAAAGCTGAACTAACACCTGGAAATTATACACGGAGCTCAATGGAGAAATGTGGGGGGAGACATGAATAGAATTTTAAACATGGTTTAATGACAATGATGATAATGATGAGTCAAATGTGCCTATCACATTTTATTAGACAAAATATGTGGGAATATGCTGCCCAATGAAACCAGGTTGTCCCCTACTTTCTTGTCCTTTCATCATTGGGTAAAGACCTTCCTTTTCAGGCAGGCTTTTCAGCAATGATATGCGGGGTGTGTGTGTATCATAAATGCTATATTTATTGAATGTATAGATTTATACATGTTTCTGAAATAGCTTCTAATTGTGGTTTTAAAACTGATAAATGTTTACATTTTAATATAGTTTTAACAGTATTTTAAAACCTATCATTATTGTATAGTTTTAATTGTATTTTAATATAGTTTTAATGGTATAACCTATCATTATTGTATAGTTTTAATTGTTGTGAGCTGTGTTGTGTCTCCTACAGGGAGAAAGGCAACATATTTTAATTTTAATACTAAATTAAAACCGAGCTCCTAGTTGTTGTCAAAAACAAGGGGTCTTCTGTCACTTTAAAAATATGACAAGTTCTATGTATTCGCGAAGGCTTTCACGGCCGGGATCTGATGGTTGTTGTGGGTTTTTCGGGCTCTTTGGCTGTGTTCTGAAGGTTGTTCTTCCTAACGTTTCACCAATCTGGCCAAAGAGCCCGAAAAACCCACAACAACCATGACAAGTTCTATTTGGCATAAATGTTCACAGACTGCACTGCAGCTGCTTCATCAGATGCAACCCACTTTTCAGCTGCTGGCACTAGTTCACCTCAGCCACAGAGTATAAATTCTCTCTGACAGGGACCCACCATGTTCTAGCCAAGGATCAGTCATTTTAAAAAAAAAGAACCATTACTGAAACATTAGATAGCTGCACAGAAAACCTATAATATTTTTGTAATATTATTAGGAAGGCTAAAGCATAAATGAGATAGAAACCAAAACATTTCATTGTTCCTTCTGACATACTGAAAACTGTGTTTTATTGAATGATAAATAAATAAATAAATAAATAAATAAATAAATAAATAAATATTGAATTCAAGAACTCTACATAACAGGTAATATTTTTCTCCTCCTTTCAGCTGGAAAATGGTGGTGACATGGCATTTCAGAGGTTGAACTCAAGAACTCTACATAACATATTTTTCTCCTCATTTCAGCTAGAAAATGGTGGTGACATGGCATTTCAGAGGGACTTTAACACTCAGGCAGTGAGATTTGGTCTAGTTCTTACACAGGTAACTCAGCTGAAAATCTGCTAAACTTAGTGGAGAAGAAACTGAAATATGCTGGTAATCTAAGAGCACCCAGAGATGTTTGCCACCTCATGTGGTTGGTAGTACTGAAGTCAATTGTGGGCAAAGCCAAGGGGAAAACCTGCAGCTACCTGCTGTGCGTCCTTCCTTCTCCTCCCCCTCCCTCTCTCCCTTTCTGTCCACCCACTGTACACAAACAGATTCTGAGTCTGGCAGTTCCCTGCCTCTTGAAGCTCTGATAAGAATGGAGACAGGAGGGAGCTGGCTGGTTATAGCCTGAGGCTGATTTTCAGAAACACCTCATTTGACCTAATGGACTGACTATGCCTAGAACCACCGCGGGCTAAAGTTTTAGCAATGGGAGGGCAGGAATTAGTAAAATAAATACTTTTCATACTTACTTTGTAATATGCAATATTTAATCCTTTCCCCAGCAAGTAAAAAAAGCAAACCGATATTCACTGTTGACGATGGGTAAAATCCTGTTTATGCCAGCATAACATAAAGTTATGTTGGTGTAAATGTGACAGGCATTATACATGGCAACAAGGAGCTGCACATCAGTTGCACATTCCCTTGCATGGCCAATTGCAGAATGCACTGACAGTAGTGGTTTGTGGATAGCACTTCTGCCTCAGCTCTAATGCAGCTACCATGGATACAATCCTAGCTTGTGCACTTGTAGTTGCTCAACAGGATTTTGGCTATTTTAATAGTAGCTAGTTCCAGCAAGTCAAGTTTATTCAGGGTGGCTGCAAGCTCTTGATACAGAGGTAGCTCTGTTGAAAGGCGCTAGGACTATATAAAATAACTTTAAGATACACAGCCCTTTGAGAAGATTAAAGGAAGTTTATAAAACCTTTTGTTAGAAATAGGCTATAATTGCAGTTGGAGCACCCTGTTTTTGCAGAGAAGTGATTGTGGCACTCCCAATCAAGGGAGTTCAGTGCTCAAATCCTGGAGAAAAATCACTAGACAACCAATCTAATTTGTATAATCATGAATGTGAGAGAAATGTGTGCTAATATTTGTTTCTGGCACAAGTATTCCCAGTTCATATTTCAAACAGGTGGCAGTTTTGATATCCTGATAAACTGTAACCCTAGGGTACAGTTTTTAACACAGGAATCGGACCTGTCAAACTGCTTGCTAATGTTTTTACTTTTCAAAGAGTTAGATTGTCTGCAGGCATGCCTTTGCTTTGAGTGCTCTCTCCTCCTGCCCTCCAGTTGTGTAAATAGATCCGAACATGTTTCAGGATTAGCCTTCCTATGAAGAATAAATGAAGACATAGGTTCTCACTCTTAAAAAAAAAAAGAAGCAGCAGCAGCAAAATATTAGTGTACTATTTTTATAGTGTATGAGTTTAAGAATCTAAAATTGGGCATGAAAGTCATTTGAACAAATATTGACTGTGGTTCTCTACCCACTAAATGCAAGTCCAATTGAACTCAAAGGGACTTGCCTCTGAGTAAGCAGGTACAGGTTTACATTGTACAGCACTTTGAGATGCCATTGATTTTAAGGACAGAAATTCAGCATTATGTTCTACATTTCTATTAATCACTGTCATTTTATTGGAACTAGAGAGCTAGAAAAGACTCTATGGGTCATCAGATCCAGCCCCTGTGAAGGAGGCACAGTGGAAGACTGAACTCCCAACCTCTGTCTTTGCAGCCAGATAATGATACCCCGGAGGTATCCAACAGATATGTCCCATGGAGTTCATAGTGTCTTCCTCTCAGGTTTTCATTCTCCAAAAACCTGAAAGCACTGCATATAAGATTGCATCCTTAACTACAATCTTAACTTTCATGTTGAAATGAGCTGGATTTAAAACTCTTGATTTTGGCTGGATTAAGGACACGAAAATAAGGACATGAAGATTAATATTGGAATATTTACAAAATATTTCCAATTATTAAACACTTATCTTCACTTTTTTTGCAGAATTTCACTTGGCTGCTTAGGTTGTCTCAGGGCTATTTAAACTTCCTTGCATTGAATGTTTAGAGGTTCTCTGTCTTACTATGGTCTTACTTCAAAAATAATTTTGTAACAACATATCCACTGTAGGGGGCTGGCAAAGATATATGAGTTATTTCTTCCTGTTCAGAGATTGTTTGCTGATATTTTTGCTGACATAGTTATGAGATTAGCTGGGATAAAGATGCATTTTTTTTTAAAAAAAATGTGCTGGCTACTTCAGGAACCAAGATACCATGCAGAAATTATTTCCATTTATGGATTCTTCTTTGAGATAAAAGCGGTCAGACATGATGCTTCAGCATACAGTTTTTACATGCAGGTAAGGAAAACGTTTCAAGGAGTCAACCGGTTTTCAATGTAACATTGGCTATTTTCCAGCTGAGGCAAAGCACTTTCAGCTCCCATTAAATTTAGTTTCAGAATCGTGTGCATGTCTAAGGGCACACTCCCATGCACATCCACAAAGGGATATAGAAAGCTACTGTAAGTTTCGCACCGTCTGGTAGTTCTTAACTTTGGGCAACCTAGATGTTCTTGGACTACAACTCCCAGAAACTCTGGCTAGCATAGCTGGTAGTAAAGGCTTCTGGGAACTGCAGTCCAAGAGCAGCTGGTTTACCCAAGGTTGAGAACCACTATCATAGTCTAAAAGGAGTGGGGGGAAGCTCTCTGTGAAATCTTGGGATGAGGGACCCCCAATTTGGCTTGAACTGTTAAGCATTCCAAGAAACTGTTGTATAATGAGTTACTGTCAGTCTAACTCAAGACCATCTACTCACAATGGCCACAGCTCCTCAGTGTTACTAATAGGAATTATTTCAGCTCGACCTGGAGATGTCAACAACTGAAATTTTGTAATCCCTTACTGCTATTTTCCCCTTGTTTTGATATAATAAGCCCAACTGGAAATTAAAAGAAAAGAGGTACACAGAGAGATGTAAGGAATTCCATATGATACAAATGTATCAGATTATTTTCAGTATGGAAATACATGAATTAAAAGTTGAAAGGTCACATGCTGGAAATTTTAGGGTAAGGAAAATTCAGCCATTGGTATTTTTGATTGGAAGGAGAAACCCGTGGAACCTGTTTCCATTTGGGCTGTGCCAGATGTCCCTTTCCCATAGCTTCCATTCATATTAGAGGGGTTTGCACTGATTTGCGTCTTGGTGGATTGCATTACTAATCACTCAGCAGAGCATGTCAAGACATTTGTGGAGCGGATGTACTATCAGAGCACTTCTGAGCTGAGCAGTTAAAATGAACAGGATCCTTCACCTGCAGCTAGCTCCTAGTCAATCCAAGAGGTCTCTTCAGTTGGTCTCTTGCTCCAGCTAAAGATCAGTTCCAGATCTTGGGTTTATACATAAAGATGCAGGCATACTCATTGTCCTTGATCACAAAATTCTCAGATTATAGTGATAGCTCCATCTCCTAAGAGAGACCAAAACAGCAATGTTGAGCTATATTGACAAAGTAATGTATCTTAATGTAGATCAAGATCAAGATCAAGTTTATTGTATTAGCTAAAAGCCGTCACAATTATTGAATACAGAAATGGTCAAAGAAAAATGATAAAAGCCATCACAATTGTTTAAAATACAAAAATGGTCAAGTATCTTAAGGTATTCTCGAATGCTTCAACGGCTGGGATCTGATGGTTGTTGTAGGTTTTTCAGGCTGTTTGGCCATGTTCTGGAGGTGTTTTTTTTTTTTTTTCCTAGACTGGCAAAACGTTAGGAAGAAAAACTTCCAGAACCTCCATAACAGCCCAAAAAACCTACAACAACCATAGTGTATCTTAATTGCCCATTCACAGCCAAGCCACCACAAAATACTTTGTATTACAACAAGAACAGCTTGGAACAAAGAAAGGTGGTGGATGATTGTCATCAACTTTCCTAAGTTGATGATGTCACCATCTGCCAGCTTTGTGAGCCTTGGCTCCACCAAACCACAGATTCTGCCTAGGGATTTTTGCCCTGGTTGTGAAGAAATGGATGATAAACCTGAACTGTGTCCTTACCCTGCCCCAGTGCTCCAGGTCAAAGGTGAAGATGAGAATGTAATGCTGCAAAACAGGTTCTGTGACTTTTTAGACTCTGCCACCAGTGCAAGTTCCGCTCCCACCCACTTAGTGCACACCTGTATCAACACCACTCTGAAACCACAATCAATCAATTGCCAAAAGATTTCATAAATATCAGGATATACAAAGAGCAAGTAATATAAAAGCAGGTTTATGAGTGTGCTGTGTTGTGTTGCGTGAGTAAGCATGATGTTGCAGTGACATAGTTCTAGTCAAGACTGGTGGCCAAAATGCTCCACAATTATAGCAGCCTGAGACTGCTTTAACTCCTTGGGCTCCATCCTATGCAATCCTGGGATCTGTAGTTTGGTGAATTACGCAGAATTTGCTGATGTGGTTAAGAGGAATGCACAAAAACCCTCTAGCGGAAATGCCAAATACCTCATCAAATTACAGATCTCAGGATTCAATAGGATGGAGCCATGGCAGTTAAAGGGATTTCAAACTACTTTAGCTCTGCTGGATAAATATAGTGTAGTTGGGGTCAGTGAACTACGGGGCCAAATTTTGATGCCCAAGAAACTTCAAGGAATGCTTCCACTGGGCCAAGAAATGGTCATTTAAAAAGAAGAGAGAAAAGAAACAGGAAGTATTCACCCAGAATGTAATGAAAGAGGAACATGGAGAGATTGGAGGCAATGATATTGTGTCAGGACAGATCCCCAGATTTTTGACTTAATTGATTCCTTCAGTGGCAGTTGTAAAGCAAATCATTGTAAGCTCACCACTACTTTCCCATTGAGGTCAATATTAAAATAGTGGTTTGATTCTCAGATAATTGTCAAGCCTCAATTCTGCCTTGTCTTCTCTCTGCCTCAATCCTCTCTCATCTTGCTTGCTCTTTCTGATGCACTGCACCATCTTTTTTCTTCCATCCATCTTCCACCTCTTTGTTTGCTCTTCCTGTCCCCCTCCGATGCCTTCCCCCTCTCCCAATCTGCCCTATGCTGGTTTGCTATATCCTTCACTCCCAGTCCGTTAGTTCTGTCCTCCTCTACTTCCTCTGTTGTTACACTTTTTGATATCTATGTACTGGTTGTAGAGCTTGTGGAATTGAGTTTTGGAAGCTAGTGGTGGGACACCAGGTAATATCAGAATGGTTGTAAAACCAAGGAAAAATTAAGCGAGCCATTGTAATTTGGGACATCTAGTTTCATCTTCTGTTATTCTCCTCACTGTGCTTATGCCTTGTCTTTATATTTTCCCTTCCCTGACTGATCCTTCTCAGAGCAATCTTACTTCTTAAAAAATAATAAAAAAAACACCCATAAGGTCACAATAAACTATGCAAATTGAGTGACAGGAATCCATCCCAAATTAAGATTTTTTCAGTTCAGAATTTTGAAGCACTTCAACCCACACACACTGTCAACCAGAGGACTAAATTTAACTCACTGTCATTTCAGAGAGTCAAACATGCAGATCCAATTATATCCTTTTTTACTGCTGAGCGCAGTCCTGTCAGCTTAAAGCAAGAGCGTGAAGTTAAGTATGAAATAAAAGCACAGTGCCAAATAGATGGAAAGTGGGAAGAATTCACTACAGAGAGACTTACTCAAAAGTTCGGCATTAAGAAGCCCAGCTGCAAAAGCGTGGTAAGGAAAAGGAATGGAAATTGTTCAATGTGTTTGCATTAGGGCAGTCTGCACAGAATAGAAGAAAGGTCAAACTGTGTATTAGATAAAATCCTAAACTATAGAGGTGTGATTTCTGGGCATCTGAAGAGACATTTGGTGACAGACAATGGTCTTATAGGGGTAGGTATAATCCAAACCATACGAGGTGGTCAACCAATGCCCTGGGCCATGTTTCAGAGAATGTCAAAACCCTGAGAGGCTCAAAACCTCAGCAATTCAGCAACCTAAAGAGACAACATAGATAAATGTTTGCAAACTGATTGAAGGCCATCCCAGTGGGATGTGGGACACAAAGGGAGTTCCCATCTAGATGTAACTTGAGGGAAGAGTTTCTCCACTTTCCCCATTTAGACACTGGCAGGACAGAAAAGAGAGATCCCCGTCCCCAACACAAGGTTAATGATAAGGCAGGCTACTATGGGAAGAGAGAATTGCTTTGATGTTGTATTTGAGAAGTTATTTGCTCTGCTTAGGTTGAGTCTATTATCTTCCCTGTCGATGCTGCCAAAAGGACAATTCTCTCTGTAGCCCTCATAACAAATTTGGAGCACATACCCAATATAGTCACATGATTATGTCATGCAGAGCAGTGATGGGGAAATGTGTGATGCGATGGCATCATGACATATGGTACATAGTCCTATATATTATGCAGAAGATGTTGACAATATGGATAGTAGTTTCCAAGTGCATATTGAACATCATGAGTAGTTCCATCCTGGGTGAAGTAGTTGCAGTAATGGAGTAAAAGATTACATCAGCATTTTCTTGCTCAAGGAATATTCAAATTACGGATGTACAGTACTATGTAGTTCAAGGCAAGTGATAGTATCCCTCTGTTTCCTCAGGATTCTGAGTCTTAATCCTGAGATAAGACACATGTTTAGAGGATTCTTCTTCCATGTATAAAGTTGATGGACTTTTGACATAGGGTTGGCCCAAAGCATTTCACTGCTTCACTCACCCTATTGAACTATGTTGAAGTACATATTTGGATGGAAAATCTTTGAGGTAAAAATTCCCACAAGCTCCTCTTCCCTTCCTAGCAGTAAAAAAACACAAAATAACAGTGAAGCAAATAACTAACCATTTTCTGTCCTTTCACAACAAGTTCAAATCTGATGCCAGGTCAGCTGATTCACTCTGCCTGCTAGCAGGGCCAGCCCAGCTTTGCATTCTATTTCATTTCCCTTCATCTGAATTAATATGTAAAAGCTCTGAGACTTGTAATCCTTGACATGTTGAGATGAGATACTGTACACTTGGTTTTGTTCACTTAGGTAGAATAAGAGAATGTATAGTTAAATTGTTGGACACATTACAGGCCAGCCAACCACATTTTATTTATTTCTTTACTTGTTACTTTTATGTTTATATTTTTTAATAGAAGAAATCAATTAAGGCTCAAGGTTTTTTACTGGCTGAGGCAGAAAAGCAATTTCTGCTTCTGCTTCTTCCAGCATCTGAGGCAGAAAATTTCACAGGCATCCCCTCCCTCTCTCTTCACTGCTGTAAGAATGCTATCATAATAAAGTAAATAACTAGAAATTGGCTGCCCTTTCATGAAACCAAATACCTGCCACCTGAGGTGACTGTCTCACCCAACTTAAGGGTACGGCCCACCATGAATCCACTGTACGTTTGACTTTGCTGATAGTATTGGAAAGGACTGTGTGTTAACTCTTGCTTCTTTCTAAATGTAGATTTTGAAAGCCTGCATACCATCGGTTCCTATCTATGTGACATTTTCTCTTCTTTTCCCATCGTCATAAAAGAGAACAAGCTCTCTGGTGTCCTCCCTGGATGGACTCATCTGGTCAACTGATTGGTGTAGGATATTTTTTAAGGGCTGCTGAGCTGCTGAAGCAGGTGAACTCTATTTGGCACAGCATGAAAATAAACTATGATCTTCTCTTGTGCTAGCTCTTTTTGACATTAATTCCATCTTACTCCTTCTTTTGTGTCCTGTAGCTAGTGCTGGAGGTAGTTTATATTTTCTTAGGTGCAGTTTACCTAACAAGGTTTTATGAATAGATACAGGATATAATCAGTTCCTCCCACCACTAAACTAGCTGTGCATATGAGATTTTATAAAGCTTTCTTCTCCCACTTTCTGCAGCTGGCCTTCAACCAGGTGCCCCACCATGCTTCTGACTGTTAATGATAATGGGAAATGATTAACATGCTTAACATGTATTACATAAAAGCAGCCACCAGCAAACAGCCTTTGTCCAGCCTCCACCCTGCAACACATGCTGCTTCCACATAGGAAAGGAATTACCTAGAGAAGGCTAGCGACATTAGCCTTCTCTAGTAATTTCATCTCAGAAATAAAATCTTGCATTGTCTAAATCTTTTCGTTTTATTTTTGTATTGTCTCGTTATTTTACTTATTTCTATATACAGTAATGCTGTATTCTCTTAAGCTATTCCTATACTATATCAGGTAGCCAATGGGCATCTCTGATTTCTTTCAGATATATGTCTTTATATACAGTATATCCATATATGTGTATGTGTATATGTGTTTGTGTGTGTGTTTTGAAACACACATACACGTACTGACAGTATATCTCACATATGTATGTATACATATAGGCTGGCTGCTGGTGGTTGCTTTTCTGTCTATGCTAAATCCATGAGAAATATGTTCTGTGGAAATGTATGCATGTGTGCCCAGATATATGTTTGAGAAGATACATGGATATGGATATGAGAGAGATCAGAGAGTTCTGTACCATTATCACAAGTTTGTAAAGCTATGTGTTGAACACAAACCAAACTTTTGTTATAGTACTCTTGACAAGATTGTATTGTATTGTATTTTTTTTTTAATTTTATGTTGCCAAGCAACTAAAGGAATGGGGCAAGACAAGGCATGATTCAGTTGAAGCATCTTGGCATCTTTGACTTCCACTGACTCCCTGTGACATTGACCCAGACCAGAAGGCTTTGGAAGTGAGATCAGTAACCTGACCTCCATACAACATACTCCTACTGTACTGCATATTTTGGGGTTTAAATTTAAACCCATTACCTATCCAAGCAAGTGAGGACAGCTGCAGCTATTTGGGGATCTTCAAAATATGCTCTTGAGTGGCACCTTTATTTCCATTCCTGGCTTCGACACCTTAAGAGAGATGTGAAGGGAATAATAATACTGTATCACATAAGACAATGTGATTTGGAGACAGTAAGGCATGTTACATACATTGTTAAAGCAAGCACAAAGGTAGAGATGTATTTCATGTTTTGTGTATGTGTTTCAAAAAAAAAAAAGAGCCCCTCCCTCATGTCACAGTCCCAATGAACATTTTTTTTTTCTGAAGCTGGTTTTTCTCTCTGGTGAGAGTTCACGCTGGCTTGAAGCTCCCTCACCAGCCACATTATACGTGAACAGGATGGACATGTGGAAAGCCAGCACTGTGTGTCAGCTCTCCATCTCATCTAGCTTGGCCTTCAGTTCTTGTCTTTTAAGTTTTAGTCTGACACCCTAGCTTCTGTCAAGTCCTGCTGAAAAATACAGAAGACTGAAGCTGAGACTTCCTTGCAAGCAAGCTGAATAAAGCACACTTTGTTGTTCAAGATCAAAGTGTTCCCGAGGCCATGGTAAAATTGCATTAACTTCAGTTAGGAAAGGAATATGCAAGAGAGAGCTAAAGTTTACTTTATGATTGGTAAATACAAAGGGTAGTTGCTAGCCCATTAATGCAACCACTTAACTTTGCATCTAAGGGGAGCTGGAAAGAGAGGTAGTAGTGGTTGTCAGCCTGAAAGGTATGTGGAGGTGGTAAAATTATAATCTCATAGAATGAAGAACTGCAACCCCACTAACCATTTTTTAAAGTTTCAAAAATAAGATTCTAACTAGCAGAAAGGATGAAAAAGAACAGAATCATAAATCCTATGAAAAATCACCTGAATTAATTTCTCTTTATGGTTCATAAATTTAAAAAACTCAGCTACCTCCCCCACAAAGTACAAATGCCAGAGTTACAATTTGTGCCTTCTAATAATAAAAATACTTGTGGAGTCAGAACGTGGGTGTTACAGGAAGCAGTGGCCGGTATATCAGTTGGTAGAATATAGGAAACATGATGCAGTTGGTGGGGGATGTCAGAGATATATTTATATTTGTAAACAAATAAAAAGTATACGACCCAATGGAAAAATACTGATGTCATAAAAACATCCGTTTCTGGTTGGTGTGCTGAGTATCTCCACAGACAGTATCTGTTACTTCCTTTATTGTACAGGAGCTGGTGCTCTCAGGTATGTTGGACTACAACTCGCACTGGCCACCCTGACTTGGGATTATGGAAGTTGTTCTTTCATGGGAAAGTTCGGGGGGAAGGGAGATAAATTATTTGTTTGACATATTCATACACTGCCATTCAAAATTTTTAAAAAAATCACCAGGTGGTTTTTTACAGTGTTGCAACATTATAATAATAGTTTAAGAGGAGAACATGTTTGCTGAAAGGACAAAAAACAGCAGTATTAAAAAAAACTTTTTGAAAATGTGTATTAAAATCACATCAGATGTTGAACGGTCTGGGGAAATGAGCATGGCCAGTGGTGAGTAAACCACTCAGAGAAGAGAGTTCCTGACAAGAGGTGTCCTCACACAGAAGGTCTTCTTTTTTGTGGCCACCAGTTTCTCCTCTTTTGATGGGAGCAGACTGAAGAGAGCTCTCAGAGCAAAGCACAGGGCATGTGCAGACCGGTAGTCATTCCCGCCTGAATCACAGGCTATGCTTCTCTGGGTCTTTAAAGGTAGACACCTGCACTTTGAACTATGTTTGGAAACAAATCAGGAACCTGCACACTTCCTGATGCATCAGCCATTTTGAATCCGTGAAACAGGGTTACAGACAGGTCATGGAATAGTGGAGTTAGAGGACGTACCAAGGATTGTGTAGTCCAGCCTTTGGCCAATGAAGAAACACATGTTTCCTTCACAACCTTGCAATTTGCTCTAAAAGTGGCTTCCAACCTGTCTTTCAATCCAACCCTGAGTACAAAATATCGTAGCCATCTAGGCTGGAGAGTAATTTAAAAAATATAAATTGGCTTTCATGTTATACTCTGTCACCGTTAAGGTGACCCTATGTGAGGGTTCAACTTTAGGCTCCTTCCACCATTCAAACAAATCAGGAGATTCTTGTAATTTTGAAACAGCGGTGAGATTTATTGGGGTATTTAACAAATAACTAGTATCAATGAAATTGTCCCATCGTTTCTCTCCTGCCGAAAACAGGTCAGTCAGGGGTTTCCATCCTTCAGCTACGAACAGGTTCCCTTCACCTGCATTCCATAGACCCGGCCAGTCTATTGACGTATTTGGGTTCATCATCTGTCCTGCCTCTCCATCCAGCAGGGAAACGGTGACATCGTCTCAGTCATCCATCCACCTGGCGTGTCCAATCGATGGGGGGGGGTCACCCAGGGTCTCCTCAGTATCCCTTCCTCCCCATCTCACTCACCCCGCGTTTTATTCTTTTTCTCCTTTCCCTTTCCACTCTCTCATTTTCCTCTCTTAGCTTTCTCCGCCACTCCCTGGCTTCAGCTTCTCCCCAATAAGAAGGTCTTGGGGGAATCTCTCTCCGTTTGTAGCCAGCCTCTGCCTTTGGGACTCTTAACCTTTCCCATGCACCAGTCCAGGGGTCCTCCATCCAGACCCATTCCCAATCTGGTGGCAACTGTTCCTCCACTTTACATCTGCTGCCCCCGCCTCTATCTCCACCCTCTTTTTCCGCTCTACTCCCACAGTTTTTCCCTCAGTTCCTTTGACAGTTAACTTAACCTCCATTGTCTGTGTGTCTGTCCCTTGCTGCTCCATTCTCTCGGGAGTTGAGGTGGGCAAGGTCTGTACCTCTTTTTCTACTGTAAGGGGGAGGGACAGCATTCTAGTGAGAGAGCCACCACTCTCGCCCCCTATCTCACACTGTATTCCTGGGCGTAATTGTAAGTCCCAGAATTTCCTCCTGTATGCATCTTCGTTCAAATCCAGCGGTGTTCCCGTTGTGGGAACGTTCAAGTGTGTTTTGGCTAATTGCAAAATTATCAAGTTTTGTTGATCAGCCAGCTGTTTTACCAATGCTTTATCTTGCGCCTCAGTGATTTTCTGGAGCCAGGTGTCCATGGCGCCTTCCATCATTGAAGGCTCCCGCTGTTGGGCGCCAATATGTGAGGGTTTGGATCCTGGCTTTACTTTTTCTTCAAATAAATTGACAGACCTCCTTGGTTTAGAAATTGGTGTTACATTTATTGGATTCTTCAACAAACAGCCTATGTCTACAAATGTATTCCAACCGTTTTCTCCCTCTAACAACAGGTTAGGAGGGGGCTTCCAGTCTTCAACTTTGAACGGATTAATCTCCTAGGTGTTCCAGTGACCCGGCCAGTCCAGGGTAAAGTCTGTGTTCAGTAATTGTCCGTCCTTCCCTTCCAATAGGGGTCCTGCATCCTCATCTGGTCCATCTGTCCAGATCGGGTCTCGTGAGGATGAATTCTCTGGCCATAGTCTCCCGAAGGACCTCTTCGCTGCTGCTCCATCATCAGCCATTCTAATCTTTCCCTCCTCTCTCTCCCAACCTTCTCTTTTTCTTCCCTCAACTTCTTCCTCCACTCCTTAGTCTTACGCTCCCCCACAATAGGAAGGCTTTGGGGTATTTTCACTCCTCCTTTGGGCATCCGCCTCATCTCTTGGGACCCTCAGCTTTTCCACTTTTCCTGTCCATGGCTCCTCTAGCCAAATCCACTCCCAACCACAGAGCAGACTCTCCTCTTTCCTCTTTATATCCCGCAGCCCCGCCTCCACTTCCACCTGGGGCTGCAGTTCCTTTTCCCACCAGAATATTCCCGCCTGCTCCAATGGTCATCCCCTTCAATTTCTCCTCCACTTTCGCCAGGTTTGCCTTGGGTAGTCTTATCTTCCTGGGAGAGGGAAAGGGTGGTGTTTGCGCCTTCTTGTGGGCAGAGAGCAGGAGGGACGACACTCCCATGAGAGGGTTCTTGCTCTCACCGACAGCCTCTC